AATTTAACTTTTCTTTTGAGGAACAAAATAAATGGGAAATATCCACTGTTTACAAACAAAAAATTAATAATAACCAGCTTTATTACAATATGATATCAGGGAATCACAGATCTAAATTTAAAGAAAAAGTGAAGACCTTGGTGTCTGGTCTTGATGGGGGGACTTGAGCTTATGCCCTCCATATTTCTACATTTCTGGCTACATCATATGTGCCACACCTTAAATGTACTACATACTGGATGAGTCATCTGCAAGCAAGTACAAGTAGTGTTTCCAACCATTCATATTTAGGGGTTCAAAATTTTTTTCTTGACTTTGGAAACCGCAGCTGAGGAAACACCACTATTACCACGAGACCAACTCAGTCACTGTTCTGCAGCATTCCATCATCTTACACATGGACACGTGGAGTTTCATGGAAATGTTCAAAAATGAAAATTTTCTTCTGAAGTGCTCAGCTTTCAAGTCAACACGGCTGTAAGTCTTTAAAGGTTCCCGGTTGAAATAAGAAACATTAGCATCTGATGAATATCAAGGTTCAAGCTTTCTTTGTAGTACCCCAGGGTAAATGTGCGGTGCAGACTTAAAACTCAGCATTCCAAAACAAGACAACACAGCAATACAGATTTAAAGAACATAAAAACAAATTATATTAAAACAAGTATCACTCCATATCAAAACAGCATCAAAGTATAAGAACAAAGTATAAGAACACCTACCAACGTCATGACAAAGTGCTGCTACATTCACACTCCAAAGGTTAAGTGCCAAGTGCATCACCTTGTGCATGCTTTGTTCAGTAGTGCAATAGCTGCAGGTACAAAAGTATCTCTATATCACTTTGCTCTGCACTTAGGGCACACAAACTGAAGGCCAGAGCGAAGAAGCTTAAATTCACCATGTCAACCATGGTTATGGTTTTATCGATATGAAAATGAGACTGTTTTCTGAGACAAAACAAATGCTGATGTGCTTTTTTTATGCGCTGCCTCACAATTTTTTTCAAACGTCAGTTTAGAGTCTATGACTGTCCTGAGATACTTGTAGGTTTAAACTTGGTCAACAGTCTAGTTTTTAATGATTACGTCATAGATTGAAGGATGGGTTCTGAAATCAATGATCATATCCTTTGTCTTGAATATGTTAAGCTTCAAGAAAGATTGGTCACACCAGGTGACAAACTCATCAATAATTGGGCCATGGCTGCACTCATTGTCATGCAACAGACTCACAATGACAGAATCATTTGTGAATTTCAGATGACTCTGGAACTTGATCGAAAGACCAGAACATCTACAATATATTGACCTTGTGGTCAGTGTTGGGAAGTAACTAGTTATATGTAATTAAATGACAACATACATGTAATTGTAATCAATTAGAGTAACAGAAAAATAAATTCTGAAATTACAGTTACTAATATCTATTCTTTTCAGTAAAAAGTACATAACACATTTTGCTGCTTTGGATATTTTTGCCATGCAAGAATGCCTTCTTGCGGCCTAACATACTGTATTTCTGTACATTTTTTAGCTTTACTGCCTAGTTAAAAGGTCCAGTGTGTAGGATTTACGGCGGCATATTGGCAGATATGGAATGTAAGTATGTTTCCTTTATTCCCCCTTGAAAATAAGAATTGTTGTGTTTTTGTTACCTTAGAATGGGCACCTGATATCAAAACAGGAAGCAGATCCTCATCCATAGAGTTCACCACATTGCATCACCATCTTTTACAGTAGCCCAGAACAGACAAATGTAACACTGGCTCTAGATATGGCCATTTGTGTTTTCACGTTGGCCACCATATTTAGCAGCCCCTCTGCCAAAAGCAAGGTCAAGGTCAAGGTCAAGGTAAACTTTATTATCCCACAAGTGGGAAATTCATATGGTCACCATTACACATACCATTGTTATACAGCCTACTGTATAACATTAAAAACAATAAATACAAAACATTAGAAAAGAAAAACAGGGACAAGACAGACAAAACAGTAAGAACATTGAAGAAACATGACAAGCATGTATGAATAAATAAAATAGTGGGATGCTCATATATATATGCTCATAGTTTAAAGTGCTTAGGAATTTTTAAATCTATTGTTGTGCAGTCTAATTGCTGTAGGCACAAAAGACTTGCTATACCTTGTGGTCCTAATTTTCCTCTGCAGGATTCTGCCACTTGACCTGTTACTACTTAAAAACTTCAAATGAAGAGGATGGGTTAAGTCATTTAGAATTTGTTATATCTTTTATAGACTGAGGTCATTGTACAGTTGAGCTACAGATACCTGATCAACTCCAATGATCCTACTGGCTGTTTTGACTATTCGTTGCAGTTTCTTCTGATCCTGAATATACATGTTTCCAAAGGCACAAATAAGGCCAAAGGATAAGACACTCTGCAAGAGAGCTTTGTAAAACATCTGAAGAATACAGCTATCTATTCTAAAATGACTGAGTTTCCTTAAAAAAAACATCCTCTTCTGCAACTTTTTGGTCTTATTTTGTGCACATTCATTGAATGTCAGTTTGTTGTCAATTTCAACACCCAAATATGTGTATGTTGAGACCCGCTCTACCATTTCACCATTGATATTTGAGGGTGGAACTATAATTCCCTTTTTATTAAAATCTATGACCGTCTCTTTTGTTTTCTCTGCATTAACCACAAGGAAATTATCTGTACACCATTTAATAAAACCCTGCATCTCCCTCTCAAAACCTTCTAGGGATGCAGTGTCAGACATTAAAAACCCCACTAATGCTGTATCATCAGCATATTTAAAATAAGTGTGGTCTGGGAAGGTTGCTTGGCAGTTATTAGTGTATAAGGTGTATAGAATAGGGGACAGAACGCACCCTTGTGGTGCCCCCATGTTTGTGGCTTTTAATAATGAGACACATGAATTGAATTTGACTTGTTGACTGCGGTTAGTCAAAAAGTCATAAATCCACAAAACTAATCTTGGATTTACCCCGAGGTTTACCAATTTTTTTACCATCAGGTGGGGTTGGATTGTGTTGAAGGCACTGCTGAAGTCTATGAACACAATCTTGACAAGACTCTTTGCCTGTTCAAGGTGCTCATATATGTTGTTTGTCAAGGTCAGCAGTGTATCTTCAACCCCTCTCTCTGCACGATATGCAAATTGGTTTGGGTCTAGAAATGGTGTGACCTCACATAAAAGCTGTTTCAGAATTATTTTTTCAAAACATTTCATTACTGTAGATGTTAGGGCAACAGGGCGCAGGTCGTTAAGTTCCTTAGGTTTATTGTTTTTAGGTACGGGCACAATCAGAGAGCCAGTTTGTTTTGGAGAAGAGGAAAGCCCTGTGGATAACTGGGCTCTTAAAAACCTCCTGAACAATGAACACTGAAGGATTCTAAATGGGAGAAGTTTCAGCTGGTTGCAGTCTGCAATCCTTACCACTAGATGCCACTAAATCCTCACAAATCTAACACACTGCTCCTTTAGCAATAGATTAGGCAAGTAATCAACTTGACACAGGAAGACACTTTTACAGTATTCAAAAACATGTAAGTGTTGGTAGATTACAGAGTGGGAGTCCAAGGGAAGAGATAGTCATTGCCTACCTGAGGATACAGGATTAAATGGTAAATGGCAAATGGACCTGCATTTGTATAGCGCCTTTCTAGTCATCCGACCATTCAAAGCGCTTTTTTACATTACGAGTAACATTCACCCATTCACACACACACATTCATACACTGGTGGCCCAGGCTACCATACAAGGTGCCACCTGCTACTCAGTTTTTAATTCAAAATGACGACCTCCATAGAATAGGGAAGCATCCTACTGGACTATGTAAACACTGTGATAAACTGGAAACAGTCAAACATGTACTAATAGATTGCCACAGGTAAGAAGGAGAAAGACAAGAGTTAGCACAGAATAACATTAATCTACTTGGAAAGACATCAAGGACCCTAGGTAAGCCTCTATTTAATTATTGAAGAGTAACAATAATTGTAGAGAAAATTTACAGTTTTTTTGTTTGCTTGTTCTGTTTTGTTTTGTTTTGTTTTGTTATGTTGTGTTTCCTGCCAAACTACTGCTCCACACTCCAGTCCAGCAGGTAGTGGTAATGCGCCTGAAAGCTGATTTACCAACTGCCATTTAACTCAAAGAAGAATAGCATTCAAAGAGTGATCAAACGTAATAATTTACTTTATTTTAATAAATTAATTAAAAGTTATATTAATTATTACAACAGGGTCACTACCAATCTGTAACCAATTACATTTCAAACATAACCTTCCCAATACTGCTTGCGATAAAAATGTACGTTTTATCTAGCCTATAGTCTACTGGCAAATAGTTGATCTCTATTTGTTTCTATCATCCTCTTTGTGTGTTTGGTTAAGCAGAGTCATAATCAACTGAATTATCAACTCTATGGTAGTGTCTCAGTTGAAATGGTTAATGGCTGTCCATATCCTAATGCTCAGTCAATACATAAAGGGGCAGAGAGAAAGAGGAAATCAAGCAGAGACACATAAAATTCAACGGGCATCTTTAAAACACATTTACCCACCAAGGAATATTGATATAGCTAATGTGAAACATTGGTAGTGCACAGCTGCTACAATGCTGCAATGTTTCAATGTAGGATGATGAGGTAACAATGTGTCAGCTTCACATCCGCCATTATAGTAAGTTTGCGTGTGTGTGTGTGTGTGTGTGTGTGTGTGTGTGTATTTGTGAGAGAGTGAGTGAATGAGTGTATGTCTGTCTGTGTATTAGACAGGGACAGTAGGAGAGAGAGACATGATTAATATAGGTATTTAGAGTAGAAAAATAAATGATTACTTTGTAGGGAGCAACGAAGGCATTATCAGCCTACATGTAACGGATTCAATAGGAAATGGCGTATATCCGCCATTGCTGCTCATTGCTTCTTCTTCCACCTAGTAGCCTACACACACACACACACACACACACACACGGGCAACGAATGACGTAGGGCTCATGCTGCGAACACACCGTCAGGTCCTTATGGGCGTCTGGTTAAACAGAATACATTTTCACTTCAAAGTTGTTTTAACTGTGTTTACTACGAGAAATATGCCCTTCACGGCACTAGTTTGGTATTTGACAAGCAATACATATTCATCCGCTTCTACATGAGTGTCAAGAGCACATCGGTACCCGGATGGACTGTCATGGCCGCCGTCGCTGTGGATCCATAGAGAGGAGACGAGGAAGGGAAATGTTTCTGCTGTGTGTTTTTTCAACCTATACCTTCTTTTCATAATGTCGGACGTTGACGGGACGCCGCCTGAACTTCCATCGAGTTCATAGTAAGAAATAACACATTTTCTGCAACTTTAAATATCTTCGCGTGGGTGTGGACTTTATTTTGGTGTAAAATAACTGGTTATTAAACTCCACAGACACTAACATAATCGCGAACTTAAGCGGCTCCCATATTTTCCATGTGCCGATCATAAATTGTTACAGTGCATTAAAATATCACTGCTTACATTGTGTAGTCTTTTGTTGCTGTCTGTCTACAGCCTTTAATTCTCCCACTGATGCAGCGTTCCCTCGCGTTTCCCTAAACTTAAGCGACTATTGAGCAAGTCACTCGAAGAAGTGAACAAATTAAATGTTTTTGAAAAGATGTCGAGTAGGAAGGTTAAGGCTGAGAGTCACATTTTTGCAACATGTTGTACTTGTGCCTGTGTTGTGTTACTGACGAAGAGTGGAATTGCAGTTAGGAGACGATGCAACTTTTCCTCTCATCCCTAAGCTTCGTTTCTATCTATCCCATCTCGATGGTGGGCCGGAGTAGCCTACCTGTATGCAGCCCAGGTGTTCACAAAAGTCCTGTCCAGGTTAACTACACTATTAGTTTCACATATCCAGTTTAAATAGAAGTAATAAAAGCTAAGTAGTAGCTGTATTCTACTTGAGTTTGATTTGGATCGTATCAATTCCATGTTTTCAAGTATGTTCGTGGTATACCTGCTTAAAGTCAGCCTGAGTGTTTGTGAAGACAGTGTTGGCACAAATCACATTTTACCAGTCTTGAAGTAGCCAGTGCAGTTAAGTCATAAAATCATGGCAGCCATTTTTCCCCCAACATGGCTTCCTCACATCCACAGGGTTGACAGCTAAGACATATAAAGTTGGAAGGTCAAAACATTAATACTTTAGAAGTGTAATGTTGAATTAAGGTGGTAAAACCTGTAATCAGCACTCTAAGTCAGGGGTCGGCAACCTTTACTATCAAAAGAGCAAAATCTGTCTGGAGCTGCAAAACATATTTTAGCCTTATAATGAAGGAAGCACAGCCTACTAAGTCTTAAGTATTATTAGGCCTAAAATTCACATTCATTTATACGTTTAACTACCAGGTGGCTACTCTACAGTAAGCTGTTTATGATTATTTGGTAATTTAACTTTGGTGCTTTGGTGGCGAAGGCCAACAAATCTCTCTACGCACTGTTACATTGCTTATTATCCTTAGAGACTTGTGCCTCTTTGGATTTGGACTTCATAACTAGGCTAGGGCCAATGACGTGCCAGTTTTTATGTCCAAAGCCTCTTATGTAATAAAAATAAGGAAAAAGTTCATTAAAAAAACACATTTATTGAATCTGTTCATCTGTTTTATCAGGTGATATGAAAATGTATTTAGGGTTTTAAAAAGTCTAAGAATTATTTAACATTGCAGCCACACAGTGTCATACCAGATAACTGTCACTTGGCACCTCATATAGTGAAATGCAAAAAAAAAAAAAAAAAAAAAAAGCTACAAAAAGTGTTATAAATGAAATAAAACCTCAACTCTCTGTCACAGGCTTTATTGTGTGAGTGTTGCCAATTATATATTTATGTTACTATTATGTGTTGATATCACACAATATCACATAGTGATGGCTTTGAGTGTAACTATTACTATTGTTATATTATGAGGCTAAGTTATTGTTTAGTTTTTTATTGTTTATTTAGTAAAAAAAAAAGCTTCACATGGCTCTTTAGTTACATTTCTAGTGGTATGCACAGATATTGATTTTTTTTTTTCAAAAATTTTGTATTTTCAAAAGAAGTGTATAACCTGTAGTTTATGTACACCTGAGGGTAAGAAAGAAGTAATGAGAAAATATGAATGATTTAGTACTGTTCCATAACTCTGACTGAACCAAATCAAACTGACATCACTATTGCTAACACAACAAAAACAAAGAACATTTATACCTGCCAACATCAGGCTGTGAAAAAGGGGGAGATATTCTGTGGTACTGTCGAATGGCTTACCCTCACCACCCCTACCCCCATATCACCATAGACTACAGATGAACATAATAAATACAAGGATGTGAAAGTAAAATGACTTTTGATCAGTATTAAATTTATAGTTAACAGTAAGAGAGAGGGAAATTATGAACCCCAGTGTTACTGTGTAGTAACCTGGTGTATCAGTAAAGTGTATAAACTACACTGCACAGTGGAATCTCTACTAACAGAGACAAACAGTGACAGCTGACTCATATGAATGGATTGAATGTGCATCAGCAGGTCCGTGTTACATCTGGTGTATGAAATGTTTATATCGTCAAGCTGCATTTTCATAAACTCACTAAGGCGCTATCTCACTGTTCCCCGACAGACTAGCCTACAACTACCAAGCAGAATAGGGATGTGCTTTTGATTCACCTCACACACTAGCACTCAACTCAGACAAACAAGTGGCTGTGTCTCACACACACATGCAGCCAGAGAGGTAACCATACAAATAATCACTAACTGTAGCATCATATGGCTAGTGGTTTTTAATAATTTTAACAACAAAGTCTTGCTAACACTCTGGAGACGGTCCTTCAACGCCGTGTCCAACCTCTGTTGGGCGGTCGGAGATCAGACCCTTTGCACAATCCTGTTGTCTTCCTCTGGAACTGTGAAAGATGTCCACACAGCGCCATGTTTTGCCCTATAAACAGTGTTTTGCAGTTGTTGTTGTTATTCTTCTCTATGTTGATTGGCGGCTCACAAGCCAAGTTTAAAGGTACACCCACTGTGTCAGCTGTGCAGATGCTGCCCTTGTTAAGTTAATGTAAGCAGTTTGGCCTTGTATTATTGGCATTATTTATCTGCTATAATTTTAATTATCGGAATAATGCATAAAAATTAAAATGTCCTATTATCGACCGATAATTTATATCAGGCATCCCTGTTTTCAAGGTTTTTTTTTTTTTGTTTTTTTTTTTTTTTTTTTTTCAGTTCGCTTCCTTGTTCTTAAATTTGTTCTTCTGAGAGGTCATAACAAAAGTCTACGGCAGCTTTGTGACATGTTCTTTAACTGCAGAACTGTTCACATCTGTGGTCCTGTAATGATGATTCCCATTTTCCTCATAAGTTGGAAGTGTGTGCTGGTCAATCCTATTCAGCACAGGGTCTCCGTGTTAAAGGGGCTCCACGTGAAATACAGAGTAGCCTATATGAGTTGTCTGTACATAGAATCTTTGAAAATATAATAAATGATAAAAAAATATTGGGAAATGGGTTACTTGCCAAATCTCTGAGAAAAACAACACTGAATTTACATCTTTAGTGATTTTTTTTTTGACAGTGTAGACAGTTCTAGTTAAATGACAATTCATGTGAAAACACATAAGGTGTCATACCGAGTAACAATTCCAGTCAGGCAGGATAACGCTGATTTTTTTCACCTAAAACACATAATTGATTTTGAGCTTGGAGCTTAGAAAACATTAAAGCATGATGCAAAGTACTGTAAAAGATTTTCATACATTTTTCAGCCATTAAATGTGTGTAAAGAACTTGAACAGGTAGGGTCACTTCTAAAATAATTGTTTTATTTCCTGAGCTCTAAATATCAATTGCTGCCTCACTTTATGTTTGACAAGTATTATTGATTCAAAAAGTTTTTATATGATAATATTTTGAAAATTCATTAGCATTAGCCCATCTCTGGTGTGTCACGATTTTTAATTAAAACACTTAAAATACATTGTTTGAAAGCACAGTTTTTGTTTGTAAAAAAGTAAAATCTTCATAGAGGCAAAGACCACTTTCATGTACAGTTTTTATCCTATTTTGATTTGTGGTCAACTTGAAAACCTTATGAGTCGCTGGGCTGCTATGGATATTCAAGACTAGCCACTGCCATGGAGGCTTGGCAAAATCTAAAGTAAAAGGCGCCCGGCCATAGACGCACATTTTTCTTAATGAAATGTTAAAACATGGTTTTTATTCTGTGTATGGGCTACATATTTTTACAGGTGGAGAATGTAAGAGTCACTTAATACAACACTGATGATTGACAATTAAAAATGTAAAAATAACCATTATTCATTTTAATATAGTTTTTTGTCAAAGCCACTGGGAGCCACTGAGGAGTACCACATGTGGCTCTGGAGCCACAGGTTGCCTACCCCTGCTCTAGGTGTTAAGGCTTTTTTACCTCTATATCAGGTACATAATTGCACACACAGGAAATATTTCAGAATAATAATAATAATAATAATTTCCCTGCATTCCCTGCAAGTTGTCTCGATGCTGCCTCCATCACTATGTCATTGTTGGTTCAATAGAATTATGCCTACTCATTTATAAAGGTGTAAAAGTTATTCTGTTGTGTTCAAACAGATAAAAAAAACCTTAAATATTAAAGTGACTGCTCCACAAATATTACACTTTTAAAACCGCCATTTAACTAGTCTGCCGTTATTGTTTGGTCAATGAAATGACAGAAGATTTAAAGAATGCCTGTTCTTGTTTCCTAAAGACAGTGTGATGTTATCACAGTGCTTGTTTTGCATAACAGTCCACAAGCCAAAGATATTAAAGGGGAACTCCACCAGTTCCACCAAAGTGTGTTTCCAGGTGTTAGGAGTACTACTGCATATGTGGGGGAAAAAAGTACTGTAAAGACTTTAGTGTCTCTAGAGGGAGCTCCTCCAGAGTTAGCTTGCAGATCCTCATCTTCGCTGCAAGCTTTCATACTATGCAAAATCTCAGACCAAACTGTCGGCAGTCAGTTGCATTGTGGGTAATGTATGTTTGAAAGATTTTGATAAGGAAGAGGAACAGGAAATAATCTGCTCAAAATTAATCCAAATTGCTCAGACAAACAAACTTCCTGCAGTTATTTCATGCACTGTTTGGGTTAATTGTACAGTTTATCAGTTGGCCTCTACTGTTTTTGTTATGCATTGTATATAATATGATATACTCATAAGATATGTCAGGGGTCATCAGTTTACTCAATGATAGAGAAGGAAAATGTTTGGAAACCACTGCATGCGATAAGGAAAAGCAGCCAGTCCTCACATTTGAGAAGCTTCAGCTTGGGAATGTTTTGTAGAAAACAATGACTTAAAGGGGAACTATGACCATTTTCAAAATTCATGCATGTTATTCCTGTGGTCTTAGACAGTTCAAAATATTAGTACATGTGAATGACAGTTTCCCAAATCCAAGAACCTTGCCATGAAAATAACATATTGGAATTCTCAACTTGGGCAGTGTTCCCCTCTTAAATGAGTAGTCACTCATCAAGTTTGTTGTTTAATGATTTTCTGTCAGTTGACTTATCAAGTAAGAGTTTCAGCTCCACATGTAACACTGCATTAGTTCTGTCATTAAAAGGATTGTGATCCTAAAAGCACTGCAGTTCTTGCACACTTAGAACACCTCTCACACTTCTCTTGTACAGGGTGTGTTCCTGTTTATGCTCTAATACTTCAACAGTTATAAATATGATTGATGCAAAGTAGGCTTAACCGATCTTGCTATCAGTGAAAAGCCGGCCTATAACCCATATATTTTAGAATTAACTTATTTATGTATCTTTATGTACACAGCACACACACGCAGACAAAAAATACTACACTTAAAGAAGAAGAGTTCATCTTTGAAGTGACAAGGGCTGCAATAAGGATGGCCTACTAAAACATGTTGCTGAATTTCTTTTATTAGATGAATCAGATAGCCTGTAAAATATATATAGAAATAACAGCAAAAGATTTGTGTGTACGGCCAAAAATTTACAGTGACATGAAAATGAAGAAAAGTTGATTCTTACCTTGGAGATAATGAATTTAGCATGTTGTTTCTTAGTGAGGGTAAAATAGACAATCCATTGTTATTAATAGTATTGCAGGCTAATCATTTTTTAGATGATTATATATTAAAGAGTTATGCAGTGTCTTTCACTTTTCCACCTGCAATTTGTGCTCAGATAATTCCATTGAATCAAAAGGGAGTATGTGGAGTTTTTTTGTGAACAAACTAAAGTTATATTTAAGTTATGTTTGAGCTCTAACAAATGTGGCTAATGCATTTCCTTCCTAATTATTTGCAAAGAGAATTTTCAATTGTAATCAAAGTATTTTAAATCTTGCATTGTTTCCATCCATGTTTACGAGCTTGCATTCCTCTTCTTCCCTGTCTTTGCTGATGCATTGCTGTGTTTCTTGGCTGTTGCTGCCACCTGTAGAGCAGTGGAATAGTGTAAAACAGGAATGTGTATTGTGTCACCCACGTGCAGATATCAAAGGGTCCCTCTCATTAAAGTCTGCTCCTATCACTAGAGGTGAAAAACTCCACAGAGCTCCTTTAGGTCCTGATAGCCTCAGCTGTTTCAATAGCAGATATCCCACCATCATAGCAAAGTTTTTGCCTCAAAGTTGTTTGTTTGTTTTTTGAGATCAGAGTAAAAAGAACACATTGTCTGCGGGTAAATCTGGAGCCCTACTCAGATTGAAATATTTCAAGGTGTGAAACATGTCACCAAAATTCTAAGTAGCCTATTCAAAGTCCAGCTAGTAACATGGGTCTCAGCAGTGTGGCATGAATAGCAGTGTTAACTGCTTTCTGTCGATAGGAGAGATTTTTATGTTATTCTCACGTTTTTTGTTCAACAAGATGTTCTCCGCAAATACATTTCTCAGGCACAATTTTCCATATTTAAGTCACGCACATGGTTAATAGTATTTAAACAGAAAGTTCAGTTCTGCAGCTTGAAAACCTGTAATTTTCTTGTTGTGTTTTACAGGCGCAGTGGCCACACTACAAACCCCTCTTCTTCAGACACAACATGCATTAATGTTTGAGTTTGTCCTCAAGAAGTACAGGTAATAACTGCTTATTAAATATAATTTTACCATTTATTCTTACTGCAGCAATAGAACTATATATTGAGTGTGGGCCTTAGAATCTGAAAAAAAAGTTGACCAGGTGGGTGGTGTTTTGGCACTTATTTACTGGCTTAGACACTATTAAAATTTACTACCCTGTAACTTTAAATTTGATTCAAGAATTATCATATGATTATTGTTGATTATTGTTATTAGTATGACCATTAGTGCTGCACATGTCCAGTGGTGTCTTGTACCACAGCACTGTGCAATATAAAGACATGACCGCAATTGTGACCTTTATTTATAGTTTCCTTATGGTTATGAGGGTCTGCTTTGGTCCCTAGCGACTTGAATGTCACCTTCCACCTTTTCCGCAAGGGTGTGCACAAACCCCTGTGCGGATGTATGTGTGTAGCCGATTTTTTATTATCCTGCAGATTTTACGCATAGCTAACACGTCGACAGCGGATACTCCAGTCTCGTTCTACACTCTAATCTAGTCTGAAAGACTGTGATCAAGCCAGTTAAGCTGCCATACCGCAGTGCTGGACTTGTCCCCTCAATTGTACTGTTAATGGACCCATGTGTGCGTCCATGTGAGTGCAGTGTCTGCAGATGTTTAATGCAGATCGTATGTCCGTGCTGTTAAAAGCAGTGGTAGTGTTTTGTATTGTAAAGTTTTAGCGAAAATATATGTGTTTGCAGGGTTCCCACGGTCATGGAAAACCCGTAAGGTCATGGAATTTCACTATCAAATTTTCCAGGCCTGGAAAAGTCATGGAATCAGTCAAAATTATTGAAAGTCTTGAATAAGTCATGGAATTTAATTTTGTATTATGAGATTGTTACAGTAATCTTCCGTGTATAACTCTCTATGTAATGAAACAGCAAATTACTTTTTTTTTTTTTTAGCTCTTAACGTACCTTTAATATGTACCTGCATGACAACATTTTGTTTACCATCAGGAACGTTTCATTTTTTTCTGCCTGGGTTGGTCCCCCCCTTCCTGCATGCCAGCTAGCTAGTATTATATTTGAAGAGAGTTTGAATTTGATATGTTTGAAAAACGCCAGGCAAGTTGGGCTGGAAAAAAAACTTATTTTCTTATGGGTCCTTGAAAAGTCATGGAGAAGTTTGGAAATTGTGGCCATGAAACTGTGTGCAAACCCTGTGTTTGGAAAGTACTGAGCTGGATACGTCTGGATAAATGAGACTTGGACTACACTACAAAAGTTGTGTGAGTGTTTGTCAACAGATGTTTTGATAAAATTGTTGTTAAAAGTGGCCCCCTATGACTTCCGTTTTCTCAGTTTTTGAATTCTTCATTCACCGTGAAGGCTGATAGTAGGAATTAGAGAGCAGCTAGTAGCAAGAGGGAAACGTAAACCTGGGGAGACAAGGCATTGCGTGCCCTCCTTGCCCTCGCAAAGGAAGAGGCCATTAATCGTCAGATGATGGGGACGGTGAAGAATGGGCCGATTTATGAGAGAATCGCCGCCTGACTATCGCTGCCTGACTAGCCGCGGCTTCCCTCCGACGTCACTGGTTACGTCACACGTTGAGCTACACGTTTTGTTACTTGCTCACAACCCCCATTGCCCAGAAAAAGGCGCATTCTGTATAAACAAAATTAGGTAGGTGGCATTTTGCTGCACTCCCAGATTTTGTTTTTATACTGCCAATGCTGAAAAAAGACTGATTGGGCTTTCCTGCAAATTTGCACAGTTCCTGTCTAAAAAGGGCTATTGATATTGAAATGATTATTTTGTGGGTGAAGTGTTCCTTTAAACGTACCTTTGCATATCTTGGTGGTTCTTCACAGTTGGGGTTTTCTTATTTCTCCTTCTTTTATTTGTCTTTTATTTTATATTTGATAAATCACAACAAAGACTATGATGTCTTACCTTCAGAAGCAGCTGAGCACATTTCGAGCAAAGCTACTAGCTCAAAATAGAGGAAAGATAAAGGGTGAAGGTCACAGAGAACAATAAGCTGTCAATGTAATGTCATGAGAAGCTTGAGGCTTTAACAAGGCAAATGCATATGCAGTGTCCTGTGTGTACACTGTATTGAAAAGCTTAGCATGAGAGCTAGAACAAGTCTGTAAGAAGTCAATTTGCATGCAAGTAGGGAGGAGAGACTGGAGTAATCTGATTGGTAGGATTTGTTTCCTCTAACCACTCTGATTGAGCCTTCAGTGACCAGGCAGCATACTTGCCAAGCAATGTGTGTCATTTCTGTCTGCACTGACAGCACTGGTATGCAAACTAGAGTGATTCTGTTTTGACTAAATGTCTCTCAGTATCTTATTTTGGCTTTTTTTTGGGGTGCTACAGTTAACAACATTTTCTCTAAATCTGAGGGTCATTGGTGGGGGCACAGTGGGTTCTATATACTGTATATTATATATAGGAAGTTAATTCCCTACAGAAGTATTTTAATGTTGCATGTGTTTAAGGTAATAGTTTATCCTCTGCTTCCTCTTTATTACAGCTTAAGTTTCTTTAAATGTAGCATATAATTATGTGTGGACTGATTTACTGACCAGTATCACCAGCTAAATGTTATTACTTGTAGAAACGGAAATTGGTGAGTGTGTTCTTAAGAAAATGGGGGAGAAAGGGGCAAAAAGTGGATTTCTCCACTATGCTGTCAAACATTCTCTCTCCAGCTGTGAAGAAAAACCTTTCTCAAGCACGTAATTGCTGTGGGGGATAGATGGTCAGGCCTCTAGCACATAAACTGGACATTTGAAATTTTGCTAATTTACTTCTTCAATATTGTTAAACTGACTCCAAAACACACTGGACAGTCATCAGCTCCTCCTTCTGGAGTGTGCAGTCCTTAGACTGATTCTGAAAGTACAGAATAATACTTTTTTAAAAAAAATACAAACTCTGCGTCGGGTTTGAGTGCTTTTAGATACAAACAGGAGCAAATACAGGCTCCTCTTCATTTCCCAGACCAGTAACATAGACCATTAGCCATTAGCACTTGATGACTGTATATTACCTTGACCTTACATTATATACATTTGTACACAACACTATTGATTTCAGTATTTTTTTTTTCTTCGGGGGTTCCAACTTCACTCCCAACTGAGACAAATAAATATCTCTGCATTTAGGAATTGTAGCCTGCATCAGAGCTTTGTTTAATATTTTGTCCTGTGATGACTTGTATAATGTCCATGAAATAAAAGGTGTTTATAGCCCCTTTCCTACTGCACAAAAAAACACTAACACCTGTTAATATCTGGCTTTTGTATGTAATGGGAAAGGTAACAATCGATATTCACATCCAGGTCAAGTGATCTGCAGTAGTCACAGGTATTTATTGGCTCTGGCTCCAGTCAGCAGTATTGGAAATACAACACCCAGGTGAAAGCGCTAATTTTAGCCCCTTGACCAGCAAGATACAGTACCGCGCCATGACAAAATACCATCAGTCTCCACCCAAGCAGCACTCAAACATTGTTTCAAATTAGTCTGCACCGGGTTTGAAAGACAGACTGAATAAGTAAGCGCTATCTATCTATCTATCTATCTATATATATATATATATACAGTACAGACCAAAAGTTTGGACACACCTTCTCATTCAATGCGTTTTCTTTATTTTCATGACTATTTACATTGTAGATTCTCACTGAAGGCATCAAAACTATGAATGAACACATGTGGAGTTATGTACTTAACAAAAAAAGGTGAAATNGCCTTCAGTGAGAATCTACTATGTAAATAGTCATGAAAATAAAGAAAACGCATTGAATGAGAAGGTGTGTCCAAACTTTTGGCCTGTACTGTATATATATATATATGTACATAAAAAGTAACAACCATAACATTTTTCTCCGGCCTCCATGCTGCTTTCTATTTACTAATCTGTTTTCGGGCCTGTCTGTGATGCAGAACGACTAGCCTGTTTTCAGGCCTTTCTGTGATGTTGAATGTGACGCATCAGGAAAAAAAAACAAAGCAGAGGCATGGCTCAGCAGCAGACAAGTATGCTTTTCTACTGGCAGTGGGAATGGAATGAGTCTGTCACCTATTTTTAGCAGGTTTTCCCATGTCAAAAAAAGCCATGAAGGTGTGCTAAGTTTGGTGGAAAAGGGGTGTAAGGCTAGTCCTCACTGCAGTAATTAAAGTTTTTAGGGGACAATTCAGATTTTGTTGTAAAATGACACATTCTATAGATTCTGCTAACAAAGGTATGCCATGTGAATGTTCACAGTAAGCAGTAATGGTAAAACATCGACAAACAGGCCTACTGTTATTAACACATTGTTCTTTGGCCCTTTATTCATTTGTAACTAAATGCTAGGTTTTATCCATACATACTTAAATGTATTAGTAAGTGCATAATTGTTGACTGAACGTTGTTACTAGCCTGGTAGGATAGAGGTCTCAGTGTGGGAGAACACAGTTTGCCTTCTCAGGGTCCCCACAGGTCTTGAAATCTTGAAAGTTTGTGAGTTTGAGGGGGAAAAAATAAAGACCTTGAAAGTTTATGTAAACAGTCATGCGTCAGTGAAAGTGTTTGCATTCATGTATTTTGTGCAAGATTAGAAATTAAAGTTCTTTTGGTGCTATCTGCCATCACTGTAACACAGGACAATATAAAAGTGATAAGACACATTTTTACAATTTGGCATGAAAGTCCACTTGGACTCAGTGATAAATGAACTAGATCAAAGGTCAAGGTCACTGTGACCTTGCGCCCATCTTATTCTCATGAATGCAATATCTAAAGAAGGCCTTGAGGGAATTTCATTAAATTTGGCACAAACGTCACTTAGGCTCACAATGAACTGATTAGAATTTGGTGATCAAAAGTGACTGTGACCTCAAAACATGTTTTTGATCATAACTCAAGAATTCATACGCTAATTATGACCAAATTTCACAAAAAACACCTAACAGGATAAAATGAGGAAGTGATGACGTTTTATATCTAAAACATCAAAGGTCAGCTTTGTCAGGTTCTGCAAAAATACGTTTCATCATTCAGTGCCATAATTCAGGAACAGAAGGGGACACATTTAGTCAGATACTGAATTGATGACACTCTTCTTGAGTGCCCATCTTGAAACTGTGCTGATTGTATAGATATTTTTGTGCTGCCAGTTTTAAGATGTGTGTGAATCATCCATAAAACCGCAAGGTGGTATTTCTAGTTTTACTTGTCCATGAGCTTCAATCAAGTCTGCTACTTCTCATTATAAATATTCTCAGTGGTATAACTGTAATTAACCTTTATCCATGTCTCAAATTATGCTGTGTTGGGTCATTGAAATTTATGGGAAATGGGCCAGAGAAATCCTTGTAAAGTTCTTCAATTAAATGTTTAAGAAGGTGTGAGAACCCTGACATTTTCCATTTCATTGAGCTACTTCTAAGATGTACAAATCAAAGCCTTTGAGTTGGTAACATTCTCGTTTTTTTTTTTGTTGTGTTTTAATGGTATACAAACCTGCTGTATTTCATATTATGAGCAACTTAGGCAAATCCTTTTTACCTGAATGTTAATATTTTATTTAATATAGGTTTATTTATTTCTTGTAATGTTAGGAGAGATAGTCTTTGTTTCAAGGTGGCCCACCACCACTTAAATGCTGCAGCAAAACCCATGTGGTCTGCTTGAATGGGCGTGAAATCCTCAGCAACCTGATCACCAATGGCCGAGTATCTCTGAAAAAAGGGATTGTCATGTATCATTGGAAAAGTGCACTGTAACACATTGTGTTGTTTTTCTGCTTTACAGCAATGTTAAATGCATTTAGAGTAAGTGGGATCCTTCTGCTTGTACTAATGAACACATTTTGTTTACTTCTCTTACAGATATCTGTAGATTTACAACTATGGAAGAAGACCTCACAATACCTCACGATTCTGCCAAAAACTGCAACATTTCAGTAATAGGGGATGAAAAAGAAAAGGTAAAAGACTTTGTTTATAAGCATTTCAGAGAAGTGGCAGATGGGTCACTCTTCAATAATGCAGAAGAATCTTCCATTAAGGAACATGGGAGTTCTGCCAAGAAAGAGAAACAAACACTCAATAAAGCCCATTGTAAAAATCAGCAGGGGGCTGTTTTCTCCGGAAAGATTCTGAGTTTTGGATGCTCAGTGTGTAAAGATGATTCCACATATAGCCCCAATGATCTCCTTAAACATTTTCGAGCAGCCCATAAAGGAACCCTTCCTACATACCCATGTGACCTGTGCGGTTTTGTCACAAATGAGTTCCCTGCTCTTCAACGCCATCGGATTGAGCACAGGAATACCCTGGTTACCTGTGAGCTATGCGACAATGATGTTCAGTACTCTCTGCTTTTGCTTACCAGACACTACATCATGTGTCACAGTCTAAACGGGCAGTTTAACTGTGACTGGTGTGACTTTACAACTGTGGATGCAGGTACATTCGTCCAACACATCCATCATCATAATGAGAGTCCATGGAAGTGTTCAAAATGCAGACATATCAGCTCAAACGAAGAGGATCACCAGAAGCATATGAAAGCTCACTCGGGTACTTTCCCCTTCACTTGTCAGTTTTGTGGATATGGTGCAGCAAGAAGCGAGTATCTTAAAAAGCACATGGCAGCTGTTCACAAAGAGGAGGCTGAGAGAAGGAATGTATGGAAAAGTATAGAGGACAGTGGGAATTCAGCATCTGCAACCTTAAAACTTTTCATGAAAAAGAGTACTGAAGCACAGGAGGCTCAGAGGATATCGAAACTGAACTGTCTTTCTGGGAGTTTACCAAACCAAAATGGCAGGCTAATCAAACCAGAGAAATCCCTTGAGGAGACCCACCACTTTGTGGATGGGACTGTAGCAAAAAAGGACAACAAAAATTGGAGCAAAGGTTCTCATAATACGGAGCAGTCAATGCCAGTAATGTTACAGGAATGTGACAACTCTGCAAGTTCTGATGCCGCAAGTCACACCAGCCCTAATGGACTGACTGTTCTGATGGTTAAGAACAAAATCTCTCTTCCCCCCAACTGTACAACCAAAGTAATGGGATTCAAGATGGTTGATGGCAAAAAACATTTAGTTCTCAAAGTAATACCAACAGCAAAGCAAGATTCATCCACTCAGAACCATTCCTTGGTTGAAGATGTGGGCTCCTCAGCACCAAATCCTGTGCAGTATAAAAGCAAAATCTCTAATGAGAATGGGGAGTTCTCTGACAGCAAGAATTCAACATCACATTGCTTTGCTCTTTCACCAAGAACTGGATCTTGCATACAGATGGAACAAGATGATATTATGGCAGTAAAAGTAAAGATTGAGGAGGAAGAAACTTCTGTTTGCAACCTTGATTCCACCCCACCTAGAAATGATATTGGGGAGCAAACTAATCCTTTACTAATTGGGTCTTCAACTTGTGCAGATACGTTATATCCTGTGACAAATGATTTTGATCATGTGGGCGACCAAAGTCACCAAAGTCAAACAACCTGCTCACAAAGAAGTAAGTTTGATAATAATTCAGTCTCTGCGACATTTAACTCTAATGCAGCCTCCCATAGTGGTTCTCAAATCAGCAATACTTCAACAGTGTGTGCTGGTAAGGTCAGTGGTTTATCTTCACCTTCAAAAGTTGCTCAGGAAACATTGCTTTCCAGACAAGTCTCCAAAGAAACCATTGAAAACTGTGGGGCTGCAGATGAGTTATTAATGACTGATACAGAAACAGGCAAACTCATTGACCAACACAGAGGGAACTCTCCCTGTAACACTAAAGAAAACAATGACCAATCTTCTCAGAGTACTCCAGAAAAGACTGATAGGGTTAGACCAGAGACTGAACAGAAAAGCAGCCAGCATCTTAAACACCTTTCCATGAATGCAGTACCATCAGACTCATCCACACCCACTTCAGGTAGCTGCAGAGAAAGTGCTGTGGGCTCAGAAAATTGCACACAAAATTCACCAAACCAAGGAGTATTTACTTTTCACAACTACTCTAAGGAAACATTTGGCACTTCACCTAACACTCCCCAAAACTTTGACAATATGTCTGAACATTCGCTAGACAAAGAAAGTATTTGTGAATCATCACAGTTTAGCTTGACATTGGCAGAGTCTCCAGAACCATTCACAGAAAGTGGCAATGGAGAAGACTCTACTCAAGAAAAGATATTGGATAGTGACATTGAGGTTGAGGGATGCATAGCTAGTGTTGACGATCCTGCCACTGAAGATGAAAATCCTGATTCAGTGCTCCAAGACTTCAATATTATTAAAATTGAGGAGGACAGCATTCCTATATCTAACAAACAGTCCGAAACAAAGAATAGTTCAACTCTCTTGGGCAGTTTTGTGGAGGAACATTCAGATGCAATCATTACCCAACAACTTCATAAGGAAAGAGTTGGGTCTTCAAGTGCAAGTAATGATTCTTTGAAACAAACAAAAACGACTCTACGAATTCTTCAGTTGCCAGAGGGCAAGCAGTCAGTACTCTTAAGAACTTCGGAGAATCGTTTTGCCGTGCCGATGCAGGTCAAGGCCACTCCAGGTTTCAAACTGATAACGAATTCTGCAAATCCTCAGATCAATGTATCTTATATGAAGCCAGGGGCAGAAAGATCAAGTAACCCTACTGGAGTAACCCTCACTCCAAACAGCAGGAGGATAGGTGTATCAGCACCAAATCCAGGAGCTGATGAAAAAGGGAAAACACTTCTCTCTGCTGTTCAACCAGGTGTTAGCACCACCTCAAATCACTACTTTATCAACAGCCCAGGATTTAAGGGTCCTGTACTTCTTTCAAGCACACCACATAATACACCTACAGACAAAACGGCAAAGACACAGCAGACTTGCTACTTGGTACAAAGGTCTGTTCCATTTGTTCAGAGCCCCAGTGCTCCTGGCCTCAGACTGGCAAGTACACAACTCCCACTGAGCTCACGGCCAGTTGTGGCCATGCCTGTGAGCACTGCAGACAAACCTAACACTCTGCAATCCGGTCGCCAGGCATTTTTGCTGCGATACATTTCTCCACCCAAATCACGCTTACTATTAAACAACCAAGATGCAAAGACTGGGACTCAGTGTAGCCAATCCAGTGAAAGTACTGGAAACAAAGTCATATTTAAAATAGTCACTCCTACTGGTAGCCTTCTTACAAGTGGTGCTCCCACCTCAAGCAGTCAGCCTTTGTTTTTGGCCACCAGACCTCAGACCCAGTGTTTTCTGGTGTCATCGAACAAAACAAATGCAAATGCCTCCAGTGGAGTGAAGAAATTGATCACCATCCAAAACACGGCACAGAAAGATGTCAAGGAATCTTGCATTTCACCCTCTCAAATGAATGTAAAGGTACAGTCAAGTGAAGCAGAGAAACCTATCCTAGCCCCAAGGCCAATTCGGCCTCCAAGCCAAAGGAAAAGGCGCAGGAAACCATTGTTTGACGAGCTCCCAGCAACAATGCACAAAGCTAGAAGACTGACAAATAAAATACTGACTGAGAAAGAGACTACTGTGTTATGGAAGCCTGTAGCCAAAGAAGTTGAAAGGACACTAAGGCTTGCCCCATTCAGTTCTCTGCAGCAGGTCAAATGCCCTCGTAGATACCAACCTGTAGTGGTGCTCAATCATCCAGATGCTGACATTCCCGAAGTGGCCAATATCATGAAGGTAGTTAAGAGATACAAAGGTGCTGTCACTAAGGTCTCTCTGTCTCAGAAAACAATCCAAGCACTCTCTGAGCTTGGTGCTCTATGGGAGAATTCCTCGACCAAAGACCAATCGTCTCCCAGCGATGATCCAAGACCCCGGCCAGTACAGAGTTCTGTCCGGGAGCGATTCCTCCTGAAACTGAAGTTGAGGAAAAAAAGCAAAAAAAAGTATGAGGTTGTGAAAACTCGATCAGGTGGTAGACAGGAGCCCGTGGTGTTTGACTGCTGGTTTTGTGGTCGGCTCTTCAACAGCCAAGAAGATTGGATTGGTCACGGTCAGCGGCACCTCATGGAGGCAACTAGAGACTGGAATAAACTGTTCTAAAAATGTTCCATCATCTCATATGGGGTGATATTCTGTCCTTTTTGAGGTGAAACAAATCGTTGAAGTTGTATATTTTTTAATGACCTTCCACTATACGTTTGTTCAATTTCTGTTCCTGTAAATACATATTCTTAAGTAAATCATAGTTTATCTTTTCATAGGTGCATATTCTGATAAATTATGTACTGCAAGCATGATTTATATCATGCATGCACAGGTCAAATTGAACTGTGAAAATGGTACACTGTAATTAGGAGTTGTGGTAGGAGCACTAGCTTAGAGAAAGGGGACAATATCAGCAAAGGTTGTATGTAGAGTTGGCTTAAATTACTCAGGTGATTTCCTATTAATCTGGTTTGTCATTTTTGCTCATGAATTTCAAATAAGCAGAGGCCTAGATTAAGGGACTTTTGTATCTTCTTTTATTATCCTGCACATGAGGACAGGGAACTATTTGTATAGCTTAACTCTAAAGCTTGTAGACAGATTCCTTTGTTTTGTGCATGTGATAAAAAACTGTTCTGGTCCAAATTATTCCTTTTTTTGTATAATGTTTTAATTGAGGGGGGTATAATTTTACTCTATTCTATTTTCAGGATTAGTTTACAGTTTCTGTCAAGGATTTTGTCAATGTGCAGCATGCGCTTGTCATAACTAGAACTGAGATTTTTCAAGGTAATCTCTTAAATCTGCCAGGTGTTGCAAACAGATAGATGGTTTTATAGATTTTTTTTTTTTTGCTGAGAGCAGAAATCCTTTTCTCTGTTAAACATGGCTCTCTGTCAGTACTTGAGACTTGAGATATCAGTACTATCAGCCCATTTTACGTCCTATGCAGTTTCCATGCAACAATATGTTTGCTGTCCACAACTCAGACTGTTTACTTGTGCTCATGTTTTGAATCCACTGATCTCTGAGTTTACTGTAAAATCTCAAAATTCCCACAAATTTGCTGTCAGATTTTTTTTTATGGGTTGCAATGTTTGTTCATTTAAGAAGATCAGGTACAGGAAGGTAACATCAAGAAAGACTGAATATGAAAATCTGTCAGAAACAACATAGACAAGTTACAGTCAATTGTCATCCCAGGGCTCATCAGTAAAATTTGGCATCTGCTTCCAAAACTTTAAAATGCCAGAATTAGCAAAATTTGGATTTGTAAAGATTGAGTAACTATACCCCATATGTCAATAATAAGTATCAACAATGGTTAAGGCAGGGCTGCAACTATTTTTACTATTGATTAATCTATTTTATCATCTTGATTAATCACTTAATCGTTTGTAGCCTGGTAAGACCATCCTGATGACTTGAGCTCAACACTCTGTTTCGCTCTGTGTAAAATCCAAATAGGGCCAACCACAGAACCACACTGTACTTGACAACATTAACAGCCATTTAGGGACTGTGTTTTAGTTGATGACATAAAGTGCAGCCCTCAGCTTGCAGAACGGTAATGGCGGCTCACGAAGCAACAAGCCATCTCTAACGTGAGTAGAGTAAACACAGTATTAAGTGAAATTATTATAGAAATAGAGTCGATAGAAACATTTAAACAAGGACAATAGTTTGCACTCGTGGAGTTTCTCAGAGGAAAAGATGTTTTCACAGTTCTTCCAACTGGATTTAGCAAAAGCTTGATTTATCAACTGGCTCCCTTGGTGATGATGATGTTCCCCAGGGTTTTAATATGCTGATTGGCTGAAAGAGTTTGTTTGTCAAGGCAAGTACTCCCAAACACTGAAAGTGTTTGGGGTGGCACCGAGACCAGACTGATACAGAGAGCGAAACAGAATGTTGAGTTCACACCATCAGGATGGTTTTACCAGGCTAAATCATTTAGTCTATCAAATATCAGAATACAGCAAAAAGATCAAGGTGACATCATCAGATGTCTTTGTTTTGTCTGATAATCAGTCTATTATCGCGTAATACAGGGAAAAGCAGCTAATCATCAATTTTATAAGCTGGAACGAGGTAGTGTTTGGAAGTTATGCTTGAAAAATGACAATTTATTTATTGTCAAAATAGTTGCAGATTATTTTATTATCGATCAGGTGGACTAATCAAATTCTTCAATACAAGTAGATATTAAAATGAGTCTCCAAAAATAATATGACAGATTTCCAATTGTTTTTTGGTTTTCACTATTGTTATTTAATTGTTGAGATACTACTACTATACCAACCTCAACACTCCTGCAGATATTTCGCATTAAAAGCCTGTTGGTAAAGGGAGGAATTATGTCCTTTAAGCCACTGTAAAGCTGGCTTGGCAGCCAATAATGTTGAGCCCTGTGTTACTATACTACCATCCTGAACACAATAACTAATTTTTAGACACTTGGAACACTACACAACACTTTGGGAAATGGAAACATTGGACCTGTGTTACTGCTGGTAGTGCTTATCAGAATAAGGATAAAGGTTGTTTTTATAATGGCAGGGGTTGGCTGGATCACCCCAGAAGTACAAAATGTGATCACAGAGAAATTTTAAACTTTACAGGAATAGATGAGGGTTCATATAGAAATGTGCAAAGCATGATTCAACATCAGTTTGATACAGAACAAAATGCACATACTGACCCCAGATAAAATCACAGATAAAGGCATTTACATACCTTTAAACTGTTATTGGTTCAATGAAAGGTTTCTTGTTAATATCAGATACTTTCAGAGGCGATGTGATTTTTACCGTCACATTTGTTTTTTATGCTCTGTAGACAGTTAAGTATAGTAGGAGCCCTGAACGTAACCCATGTGTTTGGAGTTTCACGTGTTATTGCATTTATGTTGTACTGTAAACCTGCTCACTGGCATCATCAGGTCCAGTCTGTTGTACATACATTTGTTTTAATGTTACAGTTGACGCTTTTTTTCATCACAACAAGACATTTACTTTCTTCTTGGGGTTTTAATGATTGTATTACATGATGATGGAACTGTGGAATTAATGTTTTCTTCCGTTCAATATGCAAACGTGACTGAACAATGCAAGCCATGCTAATGTTTTTATACTTTCAAAATGGTTCTAAAACAGCCAGCCTCCAATTACTGAAGTTCTGACCTCAGCAGGGGCCGCTTTTCACCAGCATTTGCTAAAAATTCATTTTAATCAAGTGCTCCAATCAACAATGGGCATTTTATTCCACACTAACTCAATTCCTTGAAATCATTTCCCATAAAACTAAAACTGTGGCATGAGTAGCAGCATTCCACTCATATTTGTGACTCACCTATGGAACCAAACAAGCATTCAACTTTTACTCACTTCACGGGGTGTTTTCACAAGCTTTTCTTTAAGGATTTGGTCAGCATTTTTGGGAAATGCGCTCCCTGCCTTTTTTTTCCCCCAGAGAGTGAGATCAAGAGATTGACATGTATGTGTTAACTTTCACAGAGCTGTAGTCAGGATGTGGTTAGCCTAGCATAACAGGTTTGAAGCTAGCCTGGCCTTCTCCAAAGTCAAAAATACACCAACCAGCACCTCACTGATCAGCATGCTTTATCTTCAGACAAAGCCAGGCTAGCTGTTTTTCTTTGTCTCCAGTCTTTATGTTAAGCTAGGCTAACCACGTGCTGACTCAAGATCCATACGGAACATGCATACTGAAAATTGATGCCCATCTTCTCAACTCACTCTTGTAAAGAAAGCATACTTTTATGAAATGTTGAACTATTCCTTTATCAAACCAGCCTAGCCCACTACAGAAAGCCAACTTGGTAAAAATGTCCAGCACAGTCTGACAGAATTTGTTTTGAAATGGAAACGACCTCTTAACACATTATGTGGTGGTGGGCAACAAATGTGTTAAAATGTGCAGGCAACATGAAAACAATGCCAGTGTAAAATCTATTATGAATGGTCGCAGTTTCAAACACATTAACATGGTTAACATTCTGAAATGGTGGCAGTTTCGTTAGGTTTAGTGAAAGAAAAACACTTAGGTCTAGAGAACAAAAAATACTTGGTTAGGTTTGGAGAAAGATCATGGTTTTGGTTTAGGTAACTACATATGGGATGTACGTGACAAAAATGTAACTAGTTTGGGTAGTTACATAAACTACCTACATAAAGTGCTTTGCATTTTTTGGTAAAGTCACGTAACTATGTTGACTTTTCGTCCCACAGGGGACACAAGCAGAGGTCTCCTGCTTGAAAGTTTGTTTGACCCATCCACCACCACTCCCAGCTGCCCTACAGGGACTTCCTTGCTCTTTATACTTAATTCTTGCATCCACTATGATAAAAGATCCTCATTGACTTTGCATTGGCATTGTTGTCATGTTGCCAGCACGTAATTTTAACACATTTCATCCCCACTACCATGTAATGCATTTCTAGCATTTCATGTATTTCCATGAGACAGTGCTGTAATATCCCTTATCCAGGACAAACCATCCTGTTTGGTGTAGGTGTAATAACATCCCAACTCACTTAAATGCTATTTAAAATGTACCCTTCTTTACAATCCAAGGTGAATTTGCGAGTGAATAATTGTCAAGTTTCTGTACAGTTCTTGTTTATGAGGGAAAAATGATGACTTGACGTTTAGCCTGCAAAATGTCCAGCATCACAAGATTCAGTGTTCAAGTGGTTGGTATTTTTCTTGTTAAACCATTTTTTGGGCTACAATATAAATACTGCTTACATACTGTAGTGTACTGTAAAGTAAAATAACAGGAGACAATGTAACGGAGGTTCGTAATGTTTTTTTTTTTTTTTTTGTCATTTGCAGTCATGTTGGGGGATGTTCAGTTGTTGATTTTTTTTTTTTTTTTTTTTTTGCAATATTTAAACTGGAATTTCTGTATCTTGACATAACAATTGTCAGTTTTGGGATAGGATTATAAAAGGGGCTGATGAAAATGTTTTAACAGCCCACTTTTCTTGTTGATTTTGTAGCTCAGTCCCCCTCAGACAGACAGCTTGAACTGATCCCAGCTAAGATGATACAAACACCAAATGAACTCAAGGTCTTCATTCATTTTGTTTCAGATGGCTTTATGTTTGTTTCTTAACGGTTTCATATATATGATGGAAATGCACAGTGTGAGAACAGTCCTCCTTCTTCACTGCTCCAGGCCAAAGAACCATTTGGTTTTATCAGAACATTTTAAAAGCAAGTGTTGATCGGGTGTCTGACTGTACACACGAGTTCTCCACTGTGATAATTACAAACCACTTGTTACATTGGGACACACTACTAGATCAGCATACTTTGTCAGTTGTATGAGCCCAAAACAAAAAGTGAAATTGAAATCCATGTTTTATATAAAGACACTTTGTACAGTTCAGCCTTCTGCCCCTCGCCCTCTACTCAACAACAAATTACGTATTAGGTTTGAACCCTTAAATGCTGAACTCATCATGTATAGTAAACTGTTCCTGTCCAGCAGGCCGTTCAGCTCTTACTGAATCTTTCCTCATGCTAAGTGCCTCAAATGTCGTTTGGCAGGTTGACAATGTGTACTGTATTCTTTTGTTCAATTTAGTGGTTCACTCTCCTCTAATAAATGTACATACCTTATGGAAACAATGTTGTGGGTTCATGTTGCTGTTGAATTTTGACGACACCTGCAGATTTACACTCTGGATCAATGCTGAAAACTGTGAAAAATAATAATGATAATAATAATAATTCAGATTTCTTTTGGATCTGACGTTAACACATTCTGTTAATATTTATTTGCTTTATTCAGTACAGAGGTGAAATAATGAAGAGGCCTGTCCCTCTACTGCATGTCTGATGGTGATGATGCTGAAAAGATCCACATGAGGGCAGCACAGAACAAAATGTTACAGGCTATTCCTGAATTTTATCCAGCAGAAAAATCTTTCACTTTATACCATAACTTTAGTTTCATGTGAACCTAAAACAGAAACTTAAAGCATTATTGAAAGTGAACTGGCCTCTTTGGAGTAATGAGTAAGCTTGACTTGAAACCATATACTAGTATCATTTAAAGAGATGACTGTAAGATCAGTTTCTGTTATTATGTGCCTCTTATACAGTGGATGTATAAGTCTACACACCCCTGTTAAAATGCTTAACCCAAAACCCTTACAAAGAAAAAAATCCAAGCTCTGCTAAATTTAGCAAAAAACAAAAAAACAAAAAACCCTTTAAATCTCCCAAAAGCATGTGAGAAAATGTGCTATGGTCTGATGAAACCAAGGTCAATTTTTTTTTATCATAATTCCAAAAGGTATGTCTGGTGCCAAAACAACACTGTATCACCAAAAGAACACCAAAACCACAGTGAAGAGTAGCGTCATGCTTTGGGATTGTTTTTCTTCAGCTGGAGCTGGGGTTTTAATCAAGGTGGAGGGAACTATGAACAGTTCCAAATATCGTTCAATTTTGGCCCAAAACCTTCAGGTGTTTGCTAGAAAGCTGAAGATGAAGGGGAATTTCACGCTTCAGCACAATTAACCCAAAACATATCCAGATCAACAAAAGAATGGCTTTACCAGAAGAAATTTTTGTAATGGTCCAGCCAAAGCACAGACCTAAATCCAAATGAAAATCTGGGGGGGGGGGTGACCTGAAGGGAGGTGTGCACAGGAGATGCCCTTGCAATCTGACAGAGTTGAGGGCTTTTGCCAGGAAGTGTGGCAAAAATTGTGAAGTCAAGATGTGGCATGCGGATAGTCTCCTACCCAAAATGGCTTATTGCTGAGATACATTCAAAAGGGCTTCAACCAAGTATTAGTTCAATGGTATGCACACTTCTGCAACCAGGTGACTGTCAGTTTTCAGGGTGAAAAAAAAGTTTTGAAATGATTTATCTTAATCTCATTTCTTTACAAAACAAAACCCGGGTCCTTTCACAGGGGTGTGTAGACCTTTTATATCCATTGTAAGTTACTATAATGTAGCTGGAGTTAGCACTAACACTTACTCAGTTGCCTGTTTATTAGCTACACCTTACTAGTTAAAATATCAGCTGAGTGTAAATTGTTCTTTAAAGAGGACTTTTCTAAAAATCTTATGCAGGGAGCACACAGATGCCAACATATATGCTCTGCATTTTATTGATATGAAAACTACTGATCATTGTTAATTTTACTTTTTATGTCTTCATTTCAGTAAAAGAAAAAAAAACTGTATGTCAGTGTCTTGCTGGCTTCAACAGTGTTGATTTAGAATTTCTGACCATGGTCCTTTCATGTGTAAACTTTCCCTGAGAGCTTTTTAAAATGTACTAAAACCAAGTGACTTCCTACGCAGTCTACTACTACAGTACATGCTAGTCATCATAGTATACTGTTTGAGCCAAACCAGTTTTCATTCCCAGGCAGGCACGTGCACAGACAGACCCCAGGTGGTGCTTGAGCACCTGCCCCTTTTCCCTCCGACTAGATGAGTGCCCTTTTTGTGAGAGAGATATATATATATTGCAATAATTTTAGAGTTTGGTTTTTAAATTTGGCCCACATCAATTCTCAATAAAAAAAAGTGTGTTGTATTCCAACAACAACTGTATCTGAGTCTAGCCCCTGCCCCTCCCTCTTCAACTTACTTTTTCACAGCCACCAAAGTAAATGTAGGCAAATCGAGCAGCATCACATCTCCCTGACCTGCTGTCATGGAAAGCCAGGTAACGACAGTGTTTGCCTTAAGCTAGTCTGGCGTAAAATCACAGTCTCCCTCCAGCTCTATGTCAGATTTGAGTTCACCAACTGCCCAGTGTGAGCAGAGACAACATTGAATTTCTCTCCAACTTCCATGTCTTTATAAACCAAAACTCAATTTGAAATAATGTTTATGTCTCCCATGTCATGTCTCTGATAAGTAAACAAAAATGACATGCAGTTTGAGGCTGTGCATGAAGAGTGCAAAGGAGGAGTGCAGAGCTACATGTGTCTGTTCTCTGAGATTCTTCAAAAATATTTCAAGCTTATTTAGAAGATAATTGTAATAATAAGCATGTGACTAAAAAAGAAAGTAGGAAATGAGGAGAGGAGGAGAACAAATTGAGAGGAGAACGCACTTGGCCTAATTGTAACTTAGCACGGGCCTACTTTGTAGTTTGGAGGGTAGATTGTAGGTTTATTATTTTATTTATTCAGAGTACGCATCAGCAGCACTTGTACTAAAAACCTGTGTAGAATTAGCAGGTCATTTGGAATTGGGACACAGTGTAAGTTTATTGAAAATGCAGTGTTTAGGCCATCAGGCAACTCACAATATGGAACAATATCTTTGAAAAAATAGGCTCCAGTAACTGAGTAACAGAAGCTCTTGTGACAATCTCTGAACTGAGACAATGTAAGATGCATAGAATGCAGGCAAAACACTGGAAACAGTTTGTTGTGTACCTATCCTAATTAGTTGTATAATTTATTTATCTTTAAAGGGACAGGTCACCCCAAAATCAAGAAATGCATCTTTTTCCTCTTACCTGTAGTGCTATTTATTCGTCTAAGATAAGATAAGATCTTTATTGTCTTCCTTAGAAGAAATTTGTTTTGGACCTGCGAGAGACCGTCCACCGTCACACAGCCGCCACATATACAGACAACATATAAATTCGGAAGACAAATATATACCCCCGCCCCAACATCCCCAAGTATTGCACATTGCCCCTAAGTTTAAAAAGTTGACCTAGATTGTTTTGGTGTGAGTTGTCGAGTGTTGGAGATATCGGCCATGAAAGTCTGCCTTCTAATGTAACTAGAAGGTGCTCAGTTTGTGTTGCACGCTTCCCTCTGCATAGCGATACAGTTGAGTTTGGTAGAAAGAAAATAGCTGAGATAGTTGGGATGACATCATGTTGTGGTGTGTTAGCTCGTGCTAACCAGGCAGAGAGAGCAGGAGACAAGCAGCTTACGGAGATGGTTGTCATAGCAGCATAGAATGACAGCAACAGCTGATTGGTGGCGATTCAGCGCTACTGTAGAAACATGGCAGTGAAACATGGTGGACCCTGTGGACCAGCACCGAGGTAGATAATAATGGCTTGTTCTAAGGTAACAAAGACACTGCAATTCTTAGTTTAGGTGATAATACACTAGCGAAGGCTAACTTAAAAATGATGGATAGTATTTCATTTCTGCCAATAAATCCTACACACTGCTCCTTTAAGGCCAAATATAACAAATATAGTGTGAGACTGGATTAAAAAATGCACTGGAAGGCTTGTGATATGAATAAATCATAACATGATTTATCAGTTGACTATTTGATCAATCGTTTTAGCTGGAATTAATTTTAAGTCACTGCTCAATGACAGTGATGCATAAAAATATGTAACACAAGCACAGAATACTAACTATTGTTATCAGTGATTTGTTTAGTGTTATCTGATGACTGAATGTTGTGTCAATACTCACTGGAGGATTTGCATTTATATTATCTTGCCTTATACACAGGCTTTGATATATTCAAGCATCATTTTATATACATACATTTTTATTATATGCAGTGCTTCCTAGTTGGCTGAAATTGGAATGAAATAAACTACCCTTATAAATTAAATGAATAAACAGAAATAAAAAATCAAATCAAATAAATATACAATGATGTATCATGTCCACTTAAATTTAAAATATTTTGCTGTGTTATAAATATCCCGATAAGGAAAATAATTGGAATTCAGTGTGTTCAAACAAAAGGATGTATGTGTTGAAAGCTGCAGAAATGGTTCCAGAGGAAAGGCAGTGAAGCAGTAAATTTGCAATAATTAGGTTTGAATCTTGTTATGTGAAGCCAAATGAAAAGAGCTTGAATATTTAACTATGTGTACACAGCCTGTCACGTCATGTAGGCAGGTGCAGGCAATAGGCCAACGCAGCGGGAAGACAGCCAGGTCTGCAGGCTTCTGTAGGGCTTCAAAATAGGTCATGTTCACATCAGGGACGTCTGCATAATTTTTCTGACTTCTCTGCCGCTGAAGTGGTTCAGGCCAGTGGCCCGTGGCTGTGGACGAGAGCACTGCGTGGGGGATGGGATGGATGGATGGATGGAGGAGACCTGAACATGAAGAATTATCATTGTCAGAGATGCTGAGACACAAACACAGGAGCTGACTGATGATTTTTTATCAGTCACACTGACGGAATTACAATGATAACAGGCCATGGGTGGTACATGCGAAACATAAAGTCGCTTCTAAATTGTTAGTCTCATAATGTGTCACTGAGTCAATATAAATACAACTCTGGCTGTAGGCTACTCATGTCACATGCTATATGTTACTGTTATCAAAAAAAGACAGTTAAAATGTGCTTCATCTACTACTTGACATTATTGTTATGGTATAGGTACAATAGTAGAGAATCAGAGTATTTGTTGTGGCCTCAAGGAGAATGACTCAACACTAAACTTTGCAGCAATAGGCTTACTACTAACAGGTCTCACATATGGTGAGTGCTACTGAAAGGACTAGTGGAAAACATGCCTGTTAGGAATGGGCTGATGGCTTAGTCTGTGGTATTGCTACTTGCAGCTTTCTCAAGAACCGCCCTTACAAACAACTTCACAATTGTCACTGTGCTTCTTTGGGTCCTGAGCAAGCAGCAACCTCTGGG